TGTCTCTCTGCTCTGCCCGAACACGTTTCCTCCAAATGAGGCATTTGGATCACCTGATTGGTCCTGTCACGTGAATATACCGATAAGCAAAAAAAGAACAAAAGAACCGAGGACCTGCATCTCATCGCGCATTGGATTTTTGGATTGGACTTGCAGATCTCTGCTAGCTTGGAAATCTTAATGAACATTCGGTGACCTTAAAGTGCCCCCTCTCGAGGTTTGGTGGTGAATATTCTCATATCTTTAGCCCACCATGATGTCCCAGGTATGCGACTGTCCCGCTAACCTCAAGAAAGCTCTACTTACTGACATGAACCTAGTGCTCTGCCGAGCTCTGTATGCTCTTGATCGAAGACAATTTTGGAGAGCTCTTTGCTGTGAGTCATCTTACGCAGACTCTCGGGCTGTCATAGTTACTTGCGACAGCGGGGAAGGAACCGGACTGACTAGTCAACTTTTCGCAGCGCATCTTCACTGTCCTTCAACGTTACGAAAGACTGACTCTCCCTCGGTTAAAATTCTATGCTCGCTTGACAGATCGCCAATTGCACCATGGCCTTTCCGCCATGATCCAGCACCACTTGATCTATCACTTCACTTCCCTCGATGACGGCAATACCTACTACGAAGCTAATCCACAGGCCGCATACTCCCTTGTGCGATCGGGAAAGATTCTACAGCTTGTGGAAAGTCGACTTGGGGAATATGCTGCCCAGGTGTTGGAAGCAATCATGATGCTTGGTCACTCCTCGATCGCCCACCTCGAAACGCTTCCCGAGCTTCAATCCAAGAGGCAGCGCGTTCCGAATGGGATCAACCATGATGAAGTTAAGCCCGAGGAAGATGGGGAAAACGCAGAGGATTCCGCTGCACCTAACGGCGATCATGTTGTGAGCGAGAAACCGGTGCGCCTGCACCCCACCTTGAAGAGTCTTGCCTCCCACGGATACATCCATCGCCTTCGAGAGGCACACTTCCAAAGCCCAAACGATAACTGGCTAGATGCTTCCCGAATCATCGGATCAAGGCCAGATGTCAAACTAATGAAGGGCAAACAGCAAGCGTCAGAGATTGAGGAGAAGGCGAAGGAAATGGTCAAGGAGAGAACTGAAGGAGACCTGAGCCGGGGCCTAATATACAACGGCCTCCCTCAAGGCGCCAAAAGAAAACGCGATCACGGCAACTCGGAGTCGAATAAGCAGGCGTCGAATGGTACCAACGGTGTCAACGGGGACCATGTAGAGGACGAGGAGGAAGAGGAAAATGATTGGTCCGAAGATGAAGATGGCCTTGATTCAATCCCAATGGACGTAAGCTCGTCCCTTTTTTTTTTTGTTTTTCAATGCGGCTTCGAAACAACCACTAATATTTACCGTAGTCTAACCTTATCGTTCGGGTGAACTATGAGAAACTCGACGTGGCGCTTCGAAACACGCGGTTCCTTGAGCTTGCTGAGCAAGACGCACCTTCCGCCTCAGTGGAGATTTATGAATGTCTGCTTAGGCGCATTGAATACCAAACAGCCCGCTGCCGAGACTCTTATGAGATCCCCCGCGAAGGAGAAGAAGGCGAACAATACTCTGCTCCAATCCAACTGAGCTCGATAGTTGAAGACGTTGACCCGCATCTGGATCTTGCAGGATGTATTGGCCCGATGGAGCCCTCAACGGTGTTAAACCGACGCGGCAAGCGACCGTTGGAAGATGATACAAATGGCGTGAATGGTGACGAGCATGAAGACGACTCGAGCGGGAAGAACCGCGCCTATGAGATCGACCAGCACCTTAGCATTCTCTCACAACCTCCCTTGAACCTTACCACAAAACATGTCATCTCCGGTCTCCCTACGTGGCGAGTTGCATTCCGAGGGCTGTCCCGCAAGCTTCGTCATTTAGAACTGGAGCGCATGATTGAATCGCGGTACGGAGATGTGGCACTGCGGGTGGTTCGCGTTCTGCATTCCAAGGGCAAGCTGGACGAGAAGCGACTCCAGGAAATCAGTCTCTTACCCTTCAAAGACCTACGCCAGACGCTTGCTAGCATGCAAACCGGAGGGTTTGTAGACTTGCAGGAAGTGCCCCGTGACGCGCAGCGCCAGCCTTCCAAGACAATCTACCTGTGGTACTACGATCCGGATCGCGTGTGCAGCAGTATTCTGGAGGATACATACAAAGCCATGTCACGATGCCTGCAACGCATCAAATTTGAACGTAGCCGCGAGAGAGATTTCCTCGAGAAGACAGAACGAACTGACGTCAAGGGCCACGAGGAAGAATTCCTCTCGGAGGCCGAATTAGAACATCTTCGCAACTGGAAGGCCAAGGAAGCCTTGTTGCTGGCGGAGGTATCTCGATTAGATGACATGGTTGCTGTTTTCCGTGATTATTGATTATTGATTTGCTATGCTCATATCATGGAGGCTGGGAAGTAATTGGGGTTGCATAAATCTGTACAGGCGCATGAGCGACGAATTGATACAAATGACACCTACATGCTCGTTTTGCGAGTTTATTCTTTAGAAACATGTTGGACGTGATATGTAGCAATGTTTACTCCTTGAGTCTCCCGAGGTCTTCGGTTATAGATACATAGCCAGCCGCCTACCTTGGCCACGGAGGTTGCCTAGGTATGAGGACAGACCTGCATAAGCTCAGCCTTTGCATCTCACACAGCCACAATGGAAATGAATCGATGTTCTAGGGGCGAGAAACAGAGTGTCTTTGTCTTTGTCTCTATATAACACTCTGGGGAGTAAGGATTAAGCTAGCATTACTATTCATCACTCTTCATAGAATAATAAAATAGGCAAGTGAAATCAAATAAAAAAAAACATGTTCTATATATCATAACTACAACATAAATTGTACAACTCTAGTCAAGTTCCACAGTGATCGGCAGTCTGGCGTCATATGGCTTGTGCATGATTTAGCCAAGAATATACGAGACTAGCGCTGAATACTTTTTTTCCACTCTGTTGTATACGTAGTAGGCAGCAAAGAAAGAGCAAAACATGTATAAATAAAGACAAGGGCAGTGTTTAGGCAGTAATTCAAAGACATCAAAGAGGTTAAAGAGTATAGAAATTAAATCCAAAAAACGAAACACGGCAATAATCAAAGAAAAGGATTCAAAAGGTAGAAACAAGCCCCTACGTCAGCCCTATCAAACCCGCCAAGTCTGCCAATCTTTATGACGCTGGCGCGACGGTGCCCAATGCACCTTCTTATACCTTGCCATACCTTGCTTTTTACAATGCCTTTTCTGCTTTTCTAACAATCTTGCAGATAAATTTACGAGCTTTCCATTCATATTCACAATTACATTTACATTTTACCTACATCAACATCTACATCCTATCGAACATGGCCTTTCCGTGGATATACCCCGTCCGAGTTGTGCAAGCACTCTTTGGCGTGATCGTGATTGGCTTAACAGGATATGGTCCGTCGCTCCAGTACAAAATCCCATCAATAAAAAAAACTAACAAGTCCCTAGTGGTTTCAACATTCTACTATGAATGGTCATACTCGGATACCGTCAACTTCCTTCTCTTCCTTGGTTGTTGGACTGCCTTTGTAGCAGTGCCCTACCTCACCATTGCACCAATATGGTTCCCTCGCCTTGCACACCACTATGTAATTCCTGCCGTTGAAGTGATTACCATGATCTTCTGGTTTGCTGGGTTTATCGCTATGGGGGCGATGTTGCCTCCGCCAAGGTGGTGTCATGGCAGTGCATGCAGCTCGCTCCAGGCAGCAACGGTATTTGGGGCTTTTGAATGGTGAGAATCCCTATCTTTTGGTGTTGTTTTTACGGCAGTATACATTGTCAGAGAGCTAACTATGATCTGTGCGGTATATAGGTTGCTTTTTGCAGTCACCACCTATTTCGCTATCGTTGATCTTATGCACCACCGTCGCGGTGGAGAAATGAAGACACACTCAAATGTGAATATTGGAGTCTGAATTGTATGTTTTTTAATGATCACCTCGAGAGCATCTGAGACTATTGGATTGAATATCTCTTAATGTTTTGGATGTTTTGAATGTTATCATAGTTTGTGATGGTGTTTAGGTGCGATACCCTTTGATAGTGATGGAGTTCTTGTTTTAGTAATCTATCTTATTCCTCTGGGAATTGAATTTGAAAGTTCAGACAAGATCAAAAAGTAAAAAGATTTAATGTAGTTCTTAACTTGCTAGCTCCAAGATTGTTTTATGCTTCCTACATGTAAGTAGATCAGGATAATTACAAGTAGTTCACCTTATAGAAATCAAAGAGTAACAAGTTCTATATGTAATGGTAGGCAGATTTAGGGTAAAGGTATTGTACCAAAAGCTCTAAGAAAATGTATAACAATACCTCATGAGAGGATGATGATGGTTGTCCTGGAGAAGCTTTTTATATAGACTCCGATACCGCCTTCCGGCTTCGTCAAATTATCCTCCCGTTTGTCATGCACATTCTGGCCTTCATTGTCATCTGATACGGCGGTTTGGCCGAGTGGTCTAAGGCGATTGAGTACGTTTCTCTTCATAAAACAGTTCCACAAAACATTCACTAACAATCCAAACAGCTAGAAATCAATTCCGTTCGCGGGCGCATGTTCGAATCATGCAGCCGTCGTTGCATATCTTTTTTGCCAAATTGGGAAGCCAGACGGTGAAGCGAATATACATAGTTTTTTTTTTTGACTGAAGATAATAATAACCCTACAAGCATGGCTATTGATCATTGATAGTTCAACTATTCGGATAATGATCTGGTCTAAAATACATCAAATAACGAGATTGGAAGAGATATGGGCTAGAGGCAATCCTAACTCGTAGACAAATAAGCTAAAAGGTCACAGACAACACTGCACTGGTGTTGATTCGTGCCTGTAGGGCTAGAACTAACAGACTTCTCTGAGCTGTCCAGTCTGATTCCCAGTCAGATCCTTATTCAAGGGTCTTCCTCAAATGCCCAGAATTGACATAGAACATTGCCAGTTTCCATTCTCAGTATATCGTCAACATAGCAGTCCAATCAGCTCCATGTTCCAACAGTAAATGCTGCACAGCAGGGGAAGCATATTTCCAAGCAAGGTAAAGCGGCGTTTCCCTCATCCCATTCATAGCATTCACATCCGCACCACGTCGGATAAGACACCTCACGATATCTTCCGCGGTGCTGTGATCCCCTCTTCTGCGTCGGCAATACGCTGAAACATGCGGTGGATCAGGTCCCGTTGGACACTTGAAAACCGGTTGAACCAAGTAGCCGGATATCACCCCATCTGAGGGCATATGGGAAGGCATTCCACTGCAGCGAATGGCGTAGTGCAAAATAGTGTAACCTTTATAACCCCTTGAATTTAAATCAAATCCATAGTCAATAAGCAGCTCCAGTATGTCGCAATTCCGGGAGATCACAGCGTGCGTGATGGACTCGAAATTAACATGAGCTCCGTGATCTAGAAGCAGGCGGACGGTCTCGAGAGTAGATTCTCTTATAGCCCCGTGGAGCACGCTCTCGTGACAGTTTGCTCCATGTTTTAGAAGCAAACGGACTGTGTCGACGGTTCCACGGCTAATTGCTTCAAATAGCAATTTCGCTCTATCATTATCAACCAAGGCAACGTTCGCTCCATTATCGAGAAGCACCTCCACCATGGATGCATAGTTTGGCTTTCTGCGCACAGCCCAAAGCAATGGACACATTCCGTTAACTTCGGCGTTGGTATCGACCCCAAATTCGATGAGAAGCTTCAGCATCGGCATTTGACCGGAAGCTACTGCACAGTTGATCAACCCTCCGTACAACAGATTAGGCCCTTCTTTCTGAGCCCCCCATTCAAGAAGGATCCTGAAGACACTCTCGTGGCCCGCGAGAAGAGCCCCGACCGCGGGATTGTTTGGTCCGGTCCATATTTCTTTTCCCACGCAGTCGTTCAACTGAGCACCATGCTCTAGAAGCAGCCTTACTATATCATCATGTCCAGCATGCGCGGCTATGCTCAGGGGTGTCTGGCTTTCGACCTTGAGTAGAGCTCTAGGCGGAACCATAAACGGATTCCTGGCTTGACTCGTAGGTCGCCTACCAGAGAACATAGTATGTAGAGACATGGGTGGAATGAAGCGATCCGTTTTCTTTCGAATCGTGGACAGAACTTGGACATCCACGTAGGCCCCCCAGTAGAGAAAATGCCGTACACCTCTTTCATTCCCAGTCGCGGCACAATTAGCCAAGCCCTCGCTTTTCCAGAGCTTCACATTTTGTTGATAGAGACGGGGAAGAAGAAGGTCGTATAGACGACGGTTCGCCTGTAGTAGGTGTGAGAGATCCTCCTCGGATTCCAATTTCGTGCTTATCAGGAGTAACAGCTCGTTGGGTAATCTGAGTAACGGGATCATAGAGGCAAAAGGTAATGTGCGATGTGATTACAGGGGGATCTAATCGGATCTTTCGAATGGTACGAATTGAAAAACGAAGCCACTAGCGCGGGGCTTTGTTCATCCATAGATGGTTAGAACCGGAACTTGAAAAACTGCAGGGGTGTGGTTGGCTCAGAATTCGAAAAATATCGATATCGTCCGGATTGACTATACTTCAAAATAGGGGAAGAGGATGGATATTGGAAGGTAACCTCAACTTGTAAAGTCCATGGCTTCATATATATGCTTGCAAGATCTACGGGTATTGGTACAATACAGGTAACTCTACGTACGCCCGAAAAACAAGCAGTGCAGAACCGATATCAATGCTGCTAAATTATGATGCTGATACACAGACACGGCGAAGACACGCAACGAACATGGACACGCATCTCACATAAATAGAAACAACAGATCCGACTCAGCTAGCCAGAAAAGCTAGCATAAAAAAGCACCCCGGAGAGAAAAGCTCATGCACACCTTTAGCGCTTGCCCTTCTTGCGGGGTGCGACAACCTTAAACGCAGAGCTGGCAGCCTCTTCCTCGCGCTGAGCAGCAGCCGCAACGGTAGCAGCGGAGCCCTTCTTGGCAACCTCGCTCCAGCCACCGCCGTTCTTCTGCTCGCCGAAAGCACTGGGCGAGACAGGGTCAACAATGCCCTTATCGGCAAGCTTGCGGCGGCGGATGAATTCCTCCGAGAAGCGGCGGCCATCCAGAGTCTGGGAGTTGGCGTAGACGGAGTCGGAGATGATCTCAGCCTCGGCAGGCAGGAAGAGCAATTGCTGAACGAAATCGTCAACTAGAGATGAGATGTTAGTATGGAGGCAGCGGGGATTGAATAAAGAGATCGAAACTCACCATTGATGGTGCTGTTCAACCCCTTGCTCAAAGCCAGAGTAGCCCACTTGGTGAACTCCTCAACGGCCTGGTTGGGGTTGGACTGGGGGGTGCTGCCGCTTGTCGCGGTACGGGTAGTGGTCACAGGGCGGGGCTTAGCGATCAGAGGCGAAATTGGTACGGTTCCGCTGGCTGTGCGGGGTCCGAGGGCCGGCGCAGTTGGCAAAACACCCTTGACCTTGCCGCTAGCACCGACAGTGGTCCAGGCACTGGAGCCCTGGCCAGCGGCGGCGACGGGAGCAGGGCCCTTGCTAGCAAGATCAGCGTAACGCTTGCCGACAGAGGAGGGAACGGGAGGGCTTGGGGTCGCAGCCATGGCAGCCGCGGCAGCAGCAGCCGCGCGGTTCTTGCGGGCCTCCTCCTCCTTTTGGATCTGAGCCAGAGTCTTCTTGGCGGTAGTGGCGGTGGGTGCGGGCTGGGTCTTGGTGGCCCAAGGGGAGCCGGCCGAGGCAGGGGTGGCCGGAGATCCAGCGCTAGCCCAGTTGGCCGACGAGGGGAGGCCAGGGGCAGCCTGTGCCTGCGCTTGGCTGAGACGCTCTTGCTCTGCAAGGAATTGGGCGCGGCGTGCCGCAGCGGCGACTTCCTCGCGTTGGGCGGCAGTACGAGCCTCAGCTTCCTGGATCTCCTTAAGAGAAGGACCCTTGGGCAAGTCATTTGCCTCCTTGGCCCATGGTGCGACAGAGGTAGGCGCAGCGTCAACGGGAGTCTGAGTCTGGGAGCGGGACCCAGTGGCCAAAGACTCGGCGACGTTCTGGCGGTTACGCTGGGCGGTAGGTGCAGGGAGAGGCGACGCGGAGGGTGGAGGAGGGAAAGGTTGGGGCATGGCGTGGTCAACCTTGTTTCCCCAGACCGATTCGGGAGGGCCATGGCTGTGGTCATGTTCCTGCTGCTGGCGTTGAGCAGAAGCAGCCTTGTGAACTTGCTGGGAAAGAGTAAGAGGCTCAGCACCGGTAACAGAGTCGGTCAACTGCTGAGCTGCCTCCTCCATCTCGGCCGCAACCTCTGCTTCGAGTTGCTGAGATGCAGCGGCAGGGTGGGTAGGCAGGCCTTCGGCGGTGCGCATTCCCATCTCGCCTTCCTGGGCCCGAAGGGCATGGAACTGGCGAAGACGCTCCTCACGAGCGTGCTGATCAAATGGATCATCTTCATGAGCCTTGTCAAAGTCTTCCTGCTCTTGCTGGAGTTGAGCACGATCCTGGAGCATTTGAGACACCTGCTGGGACTGCAGGAAGTTATCGGGCTGGCGGCCAGAGAACGAACCAGCACTGCCAAAGGCAAATGGATCCTGGCGGCTGACGTTCAGGCGATCAAGTAGAGCGGGGAGTTGGTCCTGGCTGCCAAAATCTGTTCCCAGCATTCCAGGTCCCACGTTCAAACCACCCTGTCTCGGTGCAACGCCATCAAAGAATCCAGGGAGACCTTGGGACTGCTGCTGCATGGGAGCCTGGATCGGGGATGGCTGGTAGCCAACGGGTGAAGTGATGCTTGAGAAGCTAGGCTGGCTTTGGAGACTGTGCGCGCTAGACTGGTGCTGCAGCGGAGGGTTCATGGAAGACGAGGGGGCACCAGGAGGAGCCATCTGCTTCATGATGGCCTGCTGCTGAGCCAAGTGCTCCTTCTGTCGGGCCATCAGGTACTGTTCTTCTTGCTTCCGTCGTTCAAGCGCATTCTGCTGCTCGGCTGTCAAGGTAGTGCCGAAGCTTGGGAAACTACCCGGGAAGGGAGGCTGAGCAGATCCAGCGGTCGTGTTAGTCCACTGGGCAACGGTCGGTTCTGGGCCATGAGGAAGGCCAATCTGTGGCACAAGGAACGGCTCGCGTGAGTTCCCAATGCGTCTCACTAGCTGAGCTAACGGCTCGAATTCGGTATCCTCAAGCTTCTTGATTTGCAAGTCCGGGCTGAAGAAGCCCGCCTTGAACCAATCATGCATCTCAAGCCCAGTCCACGGGCCCTGGATATTGCCTTGCGGATCCCGGTAGATCCAACGCATCCTATCCGGCATAACCATGGTACGCTGCTGAGAAGCAGGGATTCCTGCGCCAGGAGTTTGGCTGGGAGGAATATCATGACCAGCCAGGTTGGGAATAGAGCCAACGGCCGAGACGGGTGTTTGCGAAGCAGGGGTTGAGCCTGGGTGGCTTGCCTGACCCGCCTTGTCGCCTTGCGAAGGGTCGAGTCCATCTAGGCCCACAGAGTCGGGCCTTCCTTGCTCGTCTTGCATGGAAGAGAAGAGGGCACCGAGTTTGCTTGATCGGCCGATGCTTCCAGTGCCAGTCATACCAGCGTGGGGGCTAAATAGGCCGCCTCCGCCGAGGGTTGACAAGCTAGGAGACTGAAGATCGCCCATAGAGCCGAAGATAGGGTCACCAAAACCACCAACAAACGCAGAACGCTCACGAGTGGGCGTTCCGACAGCAGCACCAGATGACCAAGTCGAGGCTCCGCCCAGGGAAGACAGACCACCCAGACCACCCAGACCAGAGAAAGTGCGATTGGCATTGACGCTGGAGTTCTGGCTGCGGTCCACAGATGGAAGATCGATTCCTGAGCCAACCCGTCTCATCGAGCCGAAGGGGTTAGAGGGATCCCGAAGTCCGCTGATTCCGGGATGCTGGGCCGGCTGGATATCCGATCCGTCAGTGTCAACATCTTCGGGTTCCGTACGTTCGCCATGACGGTCACCATGCGGGCTCTGGTAAGGATTGGTGTTGGTTGGACTATTTGGCTCGTGGCCCTGAAGCAGGCTGGGAGTTGGGTTCCGCGAGTTCTCCTGGCTTTGCATTAACTCCCGGAATCCAGGGATGCTCGAGGTCATGCCGAATGCGCCAAACCCAAGATCAGACTGAGGGGGACCTTCAACATCCTGAGACCCGCCAAGAGCAGCGCTGCCACTGCGAGGCTCGTCGAACGGATTAGTTTCGCTTCGGTTGACACGAGTCTTGACGGCATCCCCCCAGGGCGACTGCGAACGCCCATCACTGTCGTTTTCAGCAAGACGTTCAAGGTTGCCCATGGGCTTTTCCTTGGCGGAGCCGGCAATATCCTCAGAGCTATCCTTGGATAGCAAACCCTTGAATCTACTCTCTCCGCGGAGACTTCCGTATCCCGGTTTCTTTTCGGTCGTGGGAGTGCCAGAGCCTGAGCCGGAACCAAGGGAGAAAGCTCCAAAGGCACCCATCGGAGAGAAATTAGCATTATGCGAGGCCGAGCCCCAGGGGGAGTTCGGTCCACTAACCCCCGTATTGATGGGGTTGGTGGAGCTGCGCTTCAGAGAGCCAAAGGGAGAGGCAGGATCCTCCCTGCCATCCTTGGCCTTCTCATCCGGCTTCGGGTTTGGTTCTCGGAAATCAGTTTTGCGACGCAACAGGGCCGGAGGAGGAGTAGAAGTATTGGCCTCATCGCGGAAAAATCTGGAGTTGGAGCCGGTAGGAGACATGGGGTTTCCAACTGATTCACCCGTTTCCCGGCGGCGGGGACCCGGGCGACCGGCGGTTGGGGAGGAGGTGGTGGTGTAGTTATTGATATGGCCCTGAGGATAGGAGATCGAAGATTTGCGACCTCCAGTTCCCGGGATGACATTTTCCTTCGCGGCGTTTGTGGGGGGCGGCTTCAGAGGGGAGTTGACTGAAGCGGCGAACATCTATTAAGCATTGTTAGTAAGAGCACTCATTCAGACCTGAAAGCACACAACACGAACCTCTCTTTCGTCCTCTGTCATACCCGTGATTCCGAGGGGTTCGACCTGGCCGCCGTGATCCCAGCAAACCTCAGGCCCCGCGGAGTTGTTCTTGTGGTCATCCCGCTTCCCCCATGCTCCATTCACCGGAGCGGACACAGTGTGGGGATCCCAGTCGGCCACGAAGTATTCCTCCACGTTCTTACTCAAGGTCCCCTCCTCCCGCTGCGATTTATACAGTTCTAGAAGTTGATCCTTGGAGTACCGGGCGTCCCCATTCCGTGCAATGCTAGAAGTATTTGAGCTCAGGTGTGGAGGGATGTACGCGCCGCCGGCCGTGAGTGTCGAGGCGGATGCAGGCTGGCTACTATCCCGGTGGTGAGAGGGAGTGGTAGCAACAGAAGGACGGCGGAAGGTCTGCGTAGCTCCATTCATACGGTTGCGGGACCTAGTGGGCATTGAAGGTTAGCATCGGATATCTCGAGCTCAGAACATTGACGGTCATAACAGCATGGAACGATATTGGACCAAGTCTGCTAAATAACAGCTCATGAACGGGGTTTGGGGAGGTGAAACAGTATCTGCATACCATTCTCCGCTAGTCGAACCGTCCCCCCTCCGATTGGGGTCCTGGGTGTTGCCAGCAGCGGCCGAAGCGAAACTCGATGGAAGTGGTGTAGGCATTGTTGTAAAGAGGCTTGTATGGTCGGATGTTGATCCCCCACGTAAAAACCGATTCTGAGATAGTGATCGCGAAACCTGTGGCGGGCTTGCAAGAGAATGTGTGATGCGAACGGATAAGTTGCAAGACACGTTGGAAAATTGGTGTAGAGTTGAAGGATGAAAGCTAGGAGCTAGTCAATCGAAGAAGTGGAGAGCTGTAAGAGAGGTAATGCAGATATGCGAGCGCCAGACTAACAAGGTCGAGAAAGAGAGAGATCGAGTTTCGATTTCGCTTGGGAAGTTTCCTGGAGCAAAAATGATTAAGCGGTGGCCGTGGCAATACACGTACCTTGTTGTAAATACACGGTATGGGTTTTCTGGTGATCGCGTGATTTGCCATTTAAGAGTGGTGAGTGTAGCGTATTGATATAACCACAATTACATACCGCCAAGAGCAGGTATCCGATACACGCACAACACTTGTGTCTGCATACTCTGCCCAATGTACCTTGTACCTTGGCTTAGGCCATTGTGCCCAATCCTGTGTTGCAAAGAAAAGAGACATTGTATAAATCATGATGATGGAAGTCTTCCAAATGACCAGAGTGCATTTTGAGCCTCGTTTTTCACTTTTTCCCTATACAGAATGACTATAGAAAGCAAATACGTATGCAGTTAGGTGGCTTGACGCAAACAGAGAGCTGTGGAAATAACAGAAGAGACGTGTATCCCTCACAACAACCACGCTTCTATTTTGATTGGAAGTTCAGCTACCTTTCAAACAGTTAACAGTTAAGGGATTGGCTTGATACTGTGTCTAAGAATACAAAGAGAGTCTAGATGTTCCACCAAATGCAATAGAGGGGGTTGAAATGCATCCAATACTATCCCTTTTTACCCAACCTCTGCAATGCTGGGCAAACATGTTCTGTCTTAAAATGATTCAACAGTCTTAAAATTTCTTTAGATTTAGCCTGGAATCCGGTTGGATTAAGAATCCCATTATCAGTTGTGCCTGTCAATAGGGCTGGATTATTGTGTTGCTCTTTGTATATCTCTACTGCCCCTGTTTGTCCTTTGATGCTTCATTTCACACCAGACAATGCTTTCTGAGATTTGCTCGCTCTAGGAGTAACACAGAGACACAAAACAACACAATGAATGTCTTGGCCCAAATTGATATGATGGGCTCAGTCTTAGAGCTTCACAGATGTTATCAAGACTCTATAAAATGGACATCCCTCCCTCCGGCAATTCCCTCTTTCCAGTTCTTTCGCTCCAAGACAATATAGTCGGCTTTCAATGAGCTATAAGCTTTCGTGCACAACAAAGATCATCTTCTCTCTCTCCCGTGTCTTGCGGTATTCAACAGCTCATCACCTTTAATCAAAGAAGATGAGGCGGTCCAGATTCACTGGCCGATCCAAACCCAACAAGACAGAATTCGGCTGGTACTTCGCTGGCGAGCCAATGGACAAGAGACACTCCCGAAGCGGGCGAATCAGGCTGGTTCGTTACGGACCTGAGATGGAAACTTGTGTCCACAGTCGATGCCCGTCGCCATCTCCCATTTCAGAACAGCCATCTTGCCCCCGCGGTAATAGATGCGAGGTTCACCCCCACGAGGCACGCTCCTCATCCCCAAGCAACACCGATTCCTCTGGTTATGAGGCAGCCAGGAGGTACTGTGAACGGTGCCATAGTATCAGACGCGAGTCTGGGTCCCCTCCACAGGTGGAGAAAGTAACCTGCTCCTGCCACAATCGATGTGAATGTCACTCTCATGAAACACGCCCAGTCACGCCAAGTAGCAGTGATTACTCTAGCTCTGAAACAGCCACAAAACGCTATGGTAGCCGTCACTCAGCAAGGCGCGAGCGTCGTTCCAAAGAGACACGTCCCACCACACCGAACAGTAGTGATTTTTCAGACTACGAACCATCCAGAAGACGCCGAAGCGGCCACCGCACCGGAAAGCGCGAACCAGAGCACCATCCGCAGGTGGAGGTATGCCAATGTGAGGCCCACGCACCCCCTCCCAGCCCACCTACCATTTCAAGCCAGAGATACAACTCCGCCCGTGCATCGTTCACGACAGCACCACGCTCCAGCCCGATAGTTCACCGCCATCACTGTCGCAAGGCGTCTTATTGCGAACTCCACCCGGAGCTCTGCCGAGCTTCGATGCCTGCACCTTCGCCGGTGCCGAGATCAATTCCAACTCCGACCCGCTCTCCCCGGTCGAGTGAGAAGTCCCGTCCCAGCTCCCGAGTCAAACCAGAGCCGAATCGCACTTTCAGGCGGTCTGCTTCTCCTCACAAGCAGGCGCCTCCCCCAAAGCCAGTATCTCCACCTATTCCTACATCTTCCAGGGCTGATGTCCAATATTGTAGCTGTTGCTATATGGATGGGTACCATGCTGATGACTCTGGTTATTATACTCCTTATGATGACACTGCTTCTGAGACCTCTATTCAGGCCATGCCTGACCATGATAGGGATGTGGATGAGAGACATTGTGCTTTTCATCACCGATGTCGTCCGAGGTTTGAGCGGGGGCTTGGCTGGGTGTGTGGGAGGAAGTGAGCAGACTTTCCTTAGATGGTTCGGTAGCTCAGTGGTTGTATTTGTGTTTCAATAGAAGAACGGTTCAAGTTTTTTTTTTCCTTTGCTGCTTTCTATTTTTCTGGTCAGTGGTTTCTTGGGCTGGGATATCGAGAGATTTGCTGGAATGACTGTCGTTTCCCCGTCAAAGGTCTAGATCGTCTCCCTGGTCTTCCTTATTTTTGTCTGTCTATCTTATGGCCTTGGATCTATTGAGACGCTCGCCCAATTCTAGATTAAAGAACAATTTCATATGGTATGGTAAAAGCTTGAATTTGATGTTTCCTTTGCCATTGTTTTAGTCTCTACTTCATGATAGAGGTGGAAGCCGACCTAGTTACATGGTCAATAACTTCATCGACAGTGACACACACTATCAAGAAACAATAGACTACGAGATTAAGCGAGTTAGATCAACTTTGGCAGGCAGTGTTGCGATATCCCATACTCCGAAGGGAATGCAGAAAGAGTTGGTAGATTTTGGGTTCATTTCACTGTCCCTTAGACACAGAAATCCAGTCGTTGAGGTGTTCACTCCGCATCCTCGTCATTGTTACCACCTTTAGCTTCTTCGGTTTCTTCGGCTTCCTTCGTATCCTCGGAGTCGTCGATATCCTTCATAGTAGTATCGGCAGAGGAAGCAGCGGCAGCGGTAGTCTCTTTTTCGTTTACCTTCTTCTGGAAGGCCTCGAATTTGGCGTTCAGCCAGGACCAGCGCATGTGAACGGCGGCCACTTCAAGGTTGAGCTCTTTAGACAGAGCTGCGATGCCGACCTTTAAGTAATGTGAATTCAGTACGTGACATCAATCAATCAAGTTGAGGATGACATAGTATTACTTTCTTGCAGTTTAGCTTCACGAGCTTCCAAAGGAGCATAACATCCTCATCCCTGAGGTGATGCTTGGTGACCTGCCGCTGAGGAGACTTGGTCATAACCTTCTTAGGAGCCATGATTGATGAGAATTTTAGATGTTTATGAAGATGGTTGATAGGTTGGTTTGGTTTAAGTGAAATGAATTTCTGTGTTTCTATAGGAGTTGCTAGGTCGTTGCGTTTGATATGCTGTCAGCTATGAATCGCCAGGCCAGAGTGTACAAGCTAATTAACAATAGTTCTTGATATCTCGTTGCCAAACACATCTTGTACCCGGTACCCGATGAAGTAAGGTCAAATCTTCTATTCTCACTATGATGATTGGTTCTAGTGGTTTTTTCGCGCAAAGGAGTGTAATGTTTTTTTTTATCATAGACTAGTGTTTAGTTGCTATTCAGAGCGACAATATATATTTCCATAGAATGCAGACCTAGCAACAGATAGCAAACCCCTGCAATTCTGGACTAGATCCCCAACTAGCGAAATAGGCAACATACAACGGTAATGTAGAAACTACGAAGGTTACTATGTATAGAATAGTAGCTACCCAAGAACACTCTATGCGCTCTGGCGTCAGCCGTTTGGAACACATGTACCATGAATCCGGCTACTTTTTGTTACAATTTGTTTCATTTCTAGCTTTGCATTCTGGAATATATCAACATATATTCATACACATTTCCAATTTCCATCAATTGTTCAACATATAGTCTCGGACATCCGGGCTCAGGTGCGTACATATGTCATCAACAAACCAAGACCTCGGCTATCGATAAGCATTCAAGCATCCCCGCACGAGCTGAGTTCCCGAGGTTTCATCGAGGTCAATTTATTCTGATATCTTCATATCTTCACGTAACAAATCCAAAATGTCCAAAGCAATTTACATATCCCCAATTGATGGCAAGCCCGGCAAGCCAGGCCAAGTCTACTACCCACTCTCCCTCCGCACCATCCCCAAGCCTTCCCCACAAGGGGGTGAGCTATTGGTGAAACTGACTGCCGCGGCGCTCAACCACCGCGACCTCTTCCTCCGTCAACACCTCTACCCAGGCGTGACCTTCGATGTGCCCCTGCTCGCAGACGGAGTCGGTACCGTTGTCGGCACTGGCCCGAACGTCCCCAGCCCAGAGAAATGGCAAGGCAAGCGTGTGATCCTGACCCCCGGTGCTGGCTGGAAGGATTCACCCGATGGACCAGAGGAGGCTACTGGATACCGGATTATGGGAGGCACCAAGGTTTATGACAAGGGGACATTGCAGGAATATCTCACCATCGAGTATTCGGAGGTCGAGGAGGCCCCCGAGCATCTCTCTGATGCCGAGGCTGCGGCTTTGCCTGTGACGGGCTTGACGGGCTGGAGAGCTCTGATTACCAAGGCTGGCGAGAGGAACTCTAAGGATGGTGCTGCTGTCTTGGTTACTGGCATTGGTGGTGGTGTGGCTCTGATGGTGCTGCAGTTTGCCGTTGCTAGAGGTGCGCATGTCTTTGTGACGAGCTCGAGCCAGGAGAAGATTCAGAAGGCCATTGAGCTGGGTGCGGCTGGCGGTGTTAGCTATAAGGAAGATGGTTGGGAAAAGAAGCTGTTGGGTATGCTTCCAGCTGGGAAGAGGAACTTCGATGCCATCATTGATGGTGCCGGTGGTGATTCTATTGAGAAATCTGTCAAGTTGCTCAAGGTGAGTACCGGCAACGAGACATATTAAATTACGGATGAAAGTACTCACATTTCTAGGCCGGCGGTGTCCTCTCTGTCTATGGAATGACTGTTTCTCCTAAGATGCCATTTACGATGTCTGCTGTTCTCAAGAACATCGACGTCCGCGGTTCCACGATGGGCTCACGGAAGGAGTTCAAAGAGATGATTGAGTTCGTCAATGCTAAGAAGATGCACCCTGTGGTGTCGCGAGTTCTGCAAACCGAACTAGATAACTTGTCCGCGATCGATGAGCTGTTCGAAGACATGAAAAAGGGCACTCAGTTCGGCAAACTGGTGATTGAGTTTGGCAGGTCAGGCAGTAAGCTGTGATTATATTCTTGCTACGATTCCCATGAAGTCATGATGCCTATATGGCTGTCTATAAAGCTATGATACATATCAATTAAGATATTTTGCAGCAACTACGAGTGTTCTTCGTGCCTTCCCTCTCGGTCGCCTTACTTCATACATAACCATCACTGCATCACTGCATCGCAACCTATTTGCATCTTCAGCGTGCCATCACCACTTTTATCTCTCATCCTCTCTTATGACAAACCCGAACGAGTAACCGAATCTCGAATTCGCTCATTGCATAATAAAGTCTTCCATTCCTTTCCACACCCCCATCATGAACTCAAAGAGAGACCGCATCTCTACCCGACGAGTCTCTCGTTCCGTTTCTCGCGGAAATGGCCATGTGCCTGATGTCTCAGACTCCGAGCGTATCTTAGAAGACTCGTGGGACGAAGGTAGTTTTCAGGTATTGCCGCATCGGGGAGATATCGACCCTAATAGAACGCTCTGTTGATGCTAACGGTCAATACAGTCCTTTGACGCCACTCATTATGCCCTGCAAACCCTTAACAAGCACATCGAACGAAGACTCGCAAAAGTGCAAGCCAATACAGTCCGCCTGAAGCGTGAATTGTGGCTGCTGCAACGACACATCAAAGAATTCCGCCATCCTCTTTTTGAGAACTGGGAAGCCGACCTGCTCACGCGTCTTATCGAGGTTGCTCACGCCCATCAGCATAAGAAGCTACCGGGCGGCGTTGTGATCGGAGAGTCCTCTTTTGCCGAACGAGAAAACCTCAACCATGCATACAGCATTGCAGCGAAGGGAATCCGCATGCCGACTCTTCATAAGCTTGGTCTGTCGGAGAAGTATCATCAGGCTCTACAGCGATATTCAGAGGTGAGTTATCACCGTGGTTTTGATTGAACGTACCTGGTTCTAGTCCCGTTCTAACATGGATCAGGTCGCTCCTTATCGAAGCCCCAATCCCTTCCAGACTGAATTTGCGTTCGCCAAATGGCTGGTCGAGGTGCGGGAAGACAGACCGGAGCTGTATAGTTTTTGGTCCAAGCTCTTCCCCGTCTGCTACGACCGCACCGTCCAAGAGAGTGCCTCTATCTTCTAGAAGATTCCAGAAAATCACCTCATCATCCTGCCTCGTTGCTTTTTTTTTCTTTCTCTTCTCTTCTATTCCTGGCAAAGCATCCAAAAAGAGGTTTTTTAGTGGGTACTAAATTGCTTCGCTGTTTAGAGATCTTCTATTTCTAGAAGTTTGTGGGTCATTGCGCTTTGTACCGACCTTTTTCTGCCCCGTGCGGTTGTGATCATTGTGTCTCATCTCAGCTCTCCACATAAAAACAAGTCTATTCTTATCATCAAAATACACCTTTTTGGTCATGGACTCCATGGCATGACTTGAAGAAATAGCCCTATATTTTAATCGTTCTAGGGACTGGTCAAGGATGTCTTGGCTTTCTTCAATGATCGACGTACATACGACCTATCGAGCAACAGACTACCACCGTTGCATCAAATCTTAAACCCCATAATTATAGTATTCACCGATTATGTACGGAGTACTCCGTACTCCGTACTCTAATCCACAAACTCAACAGTCTAAATTTCAAACACGCTAAACCCTCTGGTGTGGGCACTTAGTTCCATCATACTATGTTGTATGTTGAAGCCGAACAGCTGAAAGATCCAATGGTCAAACAATGAACAATAAAAAAACCTTCGAATGAGCCATATGCAACAAACCCCTACGTCCACAATCCCAAAAAAACCCTATTCTGGCAATCGGTCCACATGCTGCATGACGCAGTCTATGTCAAATTCAGTCGCCAGTAGCAGTAGCACAATAATCTTCCCGCTCGCTAATAATAGCTCCATTTTACGGTGTACACTATACTAAGCTCGATGCTAAATGCCTAAGTGCGAACTAAAAAGTGAGACAGCCCTAAACGGTATGTATATGCTTGTAGGACCATAGACGGCTGGGCTTGGCAAGGCTAGCGCAACGCTCCCAATTGCAACTTGATCAACCTCGTGGGCACCTCGTGGACCGCTTTTCAGGGTCTACCAACCTCCCCCGACGTACGCCGACTCGGATATGTTCCGAAGGGTCTTGCTGCGGTGTTGGTGGGTTTTTTTTAGAATTTTCGGAATTTTCGGATTTTCTTAGACCGTTTCCCGACTCAATTAGGCTTAGCCTGGTCTGTTGTACCGACGTTCTTCCGGTCGCTGCTACTGTGACCTTTAGATTGCCATGTTCTCCATACTTCATATGGAGTACGGAGGGCTGATGTTATTTGTTGTATGAAGATATGTTTATTTTAACTAATTAGGGATACTTTGTTCAAAATTTTACTTTTCATGTTTTTTTTTTTTTTTTCCACTGCTCCTTTTGTGGAATCCAGTGGATACACCCGTGGACCATGGAGCGATGAGGTAAAAAAAACAGGTCCTATATCGTATATCCAAAATAAACATGAACGATGTAGTATATTGTACATAATGTACCATAGATAGAAGGTCAGTACCAATATAGATTAACCTTAAGAAAGGTTAATCGTTCATCGGCGCAGGGCGTTATACACCGATGAAAGTTGCTGCCTACCTTGGCATTAACGGGACAAAATAAATATGTACATAACCTTGGAACAGTCCACGTTTTTTAATCAAGTGGAGAACGCATGGAAAAAAGTGGAAAGCAATGGATAAACCCACAAGTAGACCGTGCACTTTACTTAAGTCAGAACTCGACTGTCTAATTAGCGTCGGATCCGAACACTACAGATGGGGTAGCGTTCAACGATTGACCAAAGAGAAGCAGATGACCGGAGCTATCAGCGAACTCGGTTCGGTATGTACGAAAGTGCTGCCAAAATTGGATGTTAAGTGCTAAAAAGTCGGAATGAAATGGGTCGCGGGATCCCGGGATTGAGATTTACCTTCTCTGATTGGTAGGGACTTTTACGCTACTCCACTTGACGGGGATATATTTCTACCGTATGATAGACTACTCTGTTTAGTATAGAGTATATTATAGCGTTCCGCTCTTGAAGGTCCTTTTTTTTTTTCGTACTTTAGAGTTTGAGTTAAAACACCAAGATAACCTTGGATATCGATAGAACGTGGGAAATAGAGTTTCATAGGTTCATATAGGAGTGACAGGTTTGGTAGAGACGATTCGGTTCCATCAACCTGAAACCGTACTTCGACTTCGATGTTTTCGATCCACCACTTGATTTGGACAATCGACTTGATTAACTTTTTAGTGATCGTTTTACTGGCGTTTGGCGCGGTGAAATATTCACAAACAGAAATTCTTTCATGGTGATATATTCACCATACTATATATTGATCTACAACATATATCTACTTCTACTACAACATACAACATACAATTCATACCAGCCTTTTTAACTTAGGAGCAATTTGATGTAGTATTATAGACAAATACAATATCGCAGATACCAAACCGCTATAATCCTACCTTCAATATCTATCTGATTCCAAGTTCCGCCCAAGCTCGTAATCCGAACTAGATCGCCGTGGGGATCTGAGACGTAGCCCCTGACTCGTACCTAGGACCCAATGAATTACACGCTACTAGACAAGCCACCACGTTATTCAGACAACTAACCAAATTTAATATTGAACTAGTTTCGCCTAAATATGCTTGATATGGGGGGAAGAGGACGGAAGGAAAAAAAAAAAAGGCAAAACTCAAACATGGGATCACGCGTCAAACCCACGCCATCAGCTAAGATCTACACTCAATGCGCCCCCAGATACGGAGTAGGCGTGTTTTTTTTTATACACCCAGGGAGCATAAAAGCAACGGAGAACAACATAAGTGGATACAAGATTAACAGCGTGAGAATGGCGCAGTTTCTGATCATGCGAAAAACATTCTGCAACAAAAGAGGCCGCGGAAGTTGATAGGACTGCCTTGGCAATCCTTCCAATTATTTTCTCCACACCAAAAATGCGAACCCGAGATGAGTGGGTTCGATTCAGATGTTGCGGGAAGAAGCATCGGGGATCATTATACTCCGTAGAGATGCCTCCGTCCCCGAGCGCAAAAAAAATGTGAACCTTGCAAATCCCGATATTAATCAACTCCGACATCAAAGGTGAAACCAATTCCCTGTTGTCAGTTTTGCTCGCAAGTCCCTGGATACCTGCGATAATCTTGTTTCTTGTCCACCGGTGTTTCATTGCTATCACATTAAGGCTACTACCGGAGAACAGAGGATAGTGCGGGCAAATAGTGCCGACAGTAATAACCGTACTGACCGAGGCGTAGTTAACTTTTAGCTCCGTTCCTGAAACCGTTAACCTCGTTTTTAATCTATACAAAGTACGGAGTACTCCGTAGTGGAATAGTCAGCAGACGCTAAATATGGTCGGGGAAGGAGCGGAACCCCATTGCCGTTCCCTGTCATTCCCCGGAAGCGCGGGCGGTATGTGTACGTTGTCGTATGCACTTCGTACAGAGTGACTACCTTGTAGTTATACTCTTCTGATAACCACTCTTCCGTTGAGCAGGGGTCAAGGAAGGTTGGAGCTAGCACGGACGGTTCCCACCACTATATAATTCTCTGCTCATGAGTGGCCATCGAGGATGGAGTTAATCACGAGGATTGACACTTCCCTGTTCGATGGATGGGTCTTTGACGAATGAGGTTGCCCTGTGGGAGATGATCTTCGTTGCAGGGAGAGCGAAAAAAAAAAGGAAGCCATGGAAGACATGTAGTCAATTCTGAGGCATGATTCGCGATTTTGTTTAGCAATTCATCATGGGTAGACTGACATGTGATTCCCTTCTATCGTCTTCAAGATGGTACGATATATGACTCTAACATGGAAAACTGGGTCCTATCACTGGAGCTAGGATCAATATACGCGGAATTGATCTTTCTCTCTCCAGAACAGACAGAGGTGTACTTTGTAAGTTGAGTAATCGGACCACCTCCCAAGACCCAAAGCGGGTCCACGTCACATTCCTCCGAGCGATGGTGCAGTACAGACCCTCATGTGAACAAGGGTAAGCCGGTGATCTTCCCCATCAACGACATCGATTTGAAAAAAAAAAAAAATTCGAGGATCGTTGCCGTTTGTCTCCCCCTTCGCCAATAGAACCAGGAGGAGCTGAAATACAAATGTAAGGGTGGTGAACCCGAACCAGGGCCAAAAAAGTGTGTGAGAGAGAGGGAGAACGGCGTCAGTGTCTCTGACGATGTTTCACTCCGAGGGCTTGTTTCCCCATGATCCGCACACCAATCCCCTCCCACTAATGCAGCAAGGTCTTCACTTCGCCCTGACATCTTGTTCCCCTTGGATTTCTCCCTCGAAGGGATTGCCGATGAGAACGAAGATCCTTACCCAATAATTCAATAATCTTCCTCAACCCGTGCTCAGTACAACATATGCACAGTTGCCCCCCCACACACGCAAGACAGGCACAGACATACAGGCACGAGTGGCGAGATCACGTACATAATATTGACGGATACGAAGTAGACGCGCAGGCAATAGTGCAATTGTACCTGCATATTTCAAATATTGGATACCTAGAAAAGGGTAAGTTGGATAAAGCTCCTGTAACCCTTTACTCCGGAACTGGTACGGAGTAGGCGGACAAGGGACCATGGTTGAAGATGCAAAGCATATCGTTCGCGCGAAATAATGTAAAAAATTAATAAATTAACCTTTAATAGGCGCGGGGGTTTTGTCAATAGGCAGAAAGATAAACAATAAAAGATAAAAGCAGGAACCGGAGAGCCCGAAGCCTTAGTGGATGCTCAACCGGTCAATAATATCATAATGGATCCGGGAGGGACCCTCGTATGCCAATAGTATTGTCGAATACAGTATTGACGGGCTCTAAACAAGGTTGCAGCTCCGAAGCCCTGGGGGGGTTCTGGCGATCCGCTTTTTTCTTTGGAAGCTTGGAAGGATGTGGATGGTCTGACGGGATTGAATATTATTTGCTGCTTGAAACACTAGTTAGGAGATAGGGTTTATCACTTCGGATGCAAGCTCTACTTTTAGGCAATAGTGTTTGATTTTTTTGTAGTTTTTTTCCTACGCGTTTTTTCCCTTATGGGGGGTTCC